ATGAAGATTGGAAGTGGATTATGAAAAAAGTGACATCGTGACTGGTGTAAAATAATAAAGTTGTCTCGTTTTTCATCCAGCAAGCGTGGCGTTTCGTATTAATATGGAAATTTTGTTGCCTAAATCATTCCTGCCCTGGCAATCCTATCTCCCAGTAATTTATATCTTTTATATCCCTTTATTAGGTGGCAGCAGGCTTACAAAGATGAGAAGTGTTTTTTTTTTTTTTAGTATTAAAACAATTCTAATATCAACATTCTTCATAAAATTATATTGTTTGCAAGTTACTGTTTGTCCCAAAAAATGTCGATTGGGCTGTTTTCACAGCTAAAATAAATCAGAAATAAGAAAGAAAAAAAAAGAAAAAAAATGTACTAAGTTAATAATAAAACATAAACTAAAAAAAGTTTTAAATTTGTTTTAAGATTTTGTTTTGAAAAAGTGTTAAAAATAAAACAAATATTTGATCATTCGAATTATTAAGGAGTTAACCTACGATTTTTTTATTGTAAAATAATAATTATTCACTATTTGGCCTGTGTGAACAATTAGCATAGTTTATTGGTCAGTGAACAATTGACCAAAATGATATGGAAATAAGTTAAAGCAATGTATTATAATATGAAAAAAAATAATTTTCTGTTACTTGGTTGGTTCATTAAAAATAATAAACCAAACCATGGCAACAAATTGTCGGTGATTTTTTTTTCGTTTTTAGAATTCAGATCAGAACCCTTTAAATAAAAATAGTATTATTTTTTATTAGACTGTTTTCAAAAGTATATTTTTAACTTGTAGGCCTCCCCTAATTAAGAGGATACGGTCTAATATTCCGCCAGAACCAACCGTACTGGACTAGGAAGTACGGATTATGTCCTATATACATACCGGGATTCAGTCATATGATCACTTTAAACCAATATTATACCGGTTAGTGGTATAATCCAATATAAATTGAGTACGTTTTGAGTTTTAATCAAATCAACCTTATTTTTCTTCAAAACTTCTTTTACTGACGTTTATGGAGCATTTGGTTATTTTTCCCTCTGAACGATGGCTAATCATAATAAGTGATGGTTCTATCATTGCATTTATGAAAAATTAACGAAAATGTGGCCTACGAAGAAAAAATACTGAGAAATAATATATAAAAATCATAAATAATTAATTTATACTTTGCATACTACTCGTGTAAAAATCGAAACGCTTCCTGAATCCATGAACTTATATATAATGAAATATTATTATTTTTTCACTGCTCCTGTTGACTTCGACTTTTTAAGTCATGAGTCATCTTCAGCAAGTTGGGGATTCATATAGGCGACTGTAATGATAATTTTGTTCTCTCTTTTTCGAGATATTCAGGGAGCAACGTGGTTTACTAACCGGACGCGATCACATTTCACTCCCTATTCATCAGAAACTTTCCTGCAGGATGGTTATCAATCTTTTGCTTAAATCTTCCACTCAATTGTTTTATTGGATAGCGGATTATCCGCCCTATACCCAACCCCCAACCTGGAGAACCAGGAGCTATAGTGTAAGACACAGGGGACGCTCATCTCCCTATGAATCTCAAGGTGGGGACATCTTCATGCGGGAATCGAACCCGCACCGTAGTGGTCTAAGTAGTCGAATTGAGGGCCTGCATGTATGTATTTTAATTTATTATTAATTATTTTTATTAACTTTTTTCGTGTTTTATTAATTCCAAAAACGGAATTTGACTCGCTCGACCACCTCAGCTCCAAATATTAATTATGTTCAATATTATTTTACAATCAGTGTAGAAAGTCCTGTTTGCAGATATGATTGTTCTGAATTTCCTCTAGTTCCTGTTTAAACGTCACATTAATGTTTTTTTTTTCTTATTTTTTATTTGTTATTTTATTTATTTGCATAATCGATCTCCTTTTACCTTGAAGCCCTTCCACCACTCCTGGCTGTCGCAAACATCACTAGAATTCTTCGGGGTGCGTTGTTAAGGTGAAGGAGGACCGGCTGTTTCTGGTGATGTAACAAGAAAGCAGGTCTGGCAGGTTTTCCTTTCTCAGGTGTAGCAATGTAAAAACTGAAAATATTACACACCGTATCATACCCGACATTATATACTAGTTGTCTGCCTCGATTTTATGTATAGTTTTTCGATTTATAAACAACACCCCTATTAACATTTATAGTTCACCTATTTTGCCGATTTCCGGATTGGTCAGGTTACACTAAACAAAATAAGCATTTTTTCAAAATTAACTTTAATTAATCGTTCCCCTAGCCATCTATCATGATACAGAAATTTATATGTCAATGATTAGAAAGGGGGCGGGGTGGCCGAATAGGCTAAAGCGTGTGTAACAGCACCGCTAGTTGCCTGGCAACCGGATAACAGAGATTTGAGATGATATAAAAAGTACGAGTTTGCGTCCCGGTGCCGGGAATTCCCCGCCCTCACCCCCCGGTCCGGGAAAATCCCGTATAGCCTAAAAGGCGAGGTAGGGAAGAAAAAAAAAAAAAAAAAAAATGTCAATGATTAGAAATGATTTCAAAACCATTTTATAGATACTTATTGAATTGATATATGTGACTAATTATGTTATAAATTTTATATAATGTTTATTTTAACTTGATTAGTTTCTTGGTATGGTTGGTATTTTTAAAAATGATAAGTTTTAAACGCGTGGCAAGGTTACTATAATTAATTTAATTTTTTTGTTTAAGGGCCATTAAAGCATTTATTAATAATTGAATTGTACTCTTATTTCAAAACTTCATTTAAAAAAATTAAAATTAAAGATTTATTGAAAAACACTGATAAGCACTTGAAAGCAATGTATTCAAGATTAGTGATTTTGACGCTCAATAGCTTAAACTCTTCGAGAGTCGTGGTGAAATATAATAAAAGCTTCGATTATTTAAACTTATACGAAAAATAAGCTGTTACATATTATTACGAACTTGGTATTACCAGCTTGTCAATATCCCTTATTATTAAACATTAGTAATAATTTTAAACATGACAAATCAATTCTGAAAAGTGTACTCATGAACGTAATTTTTATATTAAAGGTTGTCAACTGATATCTTCGAACGAAAATACACCGGTTTGACTCATATCTGCTTCACAATTAGACTTTAGGGTTAGCTTTTTTCCTATCTCTACTTTTTTGGGGAAAATTCACTTTTGGCCAAATCGGGAAAAAAAATACCTCTACTGTTAAGAATCAAAAAATTTTAATAACTACACATTATTATTTTTTTTTATTCTTTGGACATATTGTGCTTTAACGGAAATTATGAAGATAGAATCTTGTTGTGCCCTACAATTATTTTATCATAAGTAGAAATCATTGCTGATTCAAGATAATATAATTTTAGACCTGTAAATTTTAATTATAATTACAAGCCTTAAAGGTAAAACCTCGAAGTGTGCTTAGTTTACAATTTAAACTCAGAATGAGGAATATCTATTCTGTTATAAAAATTATAAATTATGTAGATTATATTTACACTGAGCTGAGGAATTCTAGTTTCCCTGCCTGGCCTAGATAGTAGGCACCGCATCAATGATCATAGTCAACAATAATTACTGAGGCAACTCGAGGAGAAACAGCTACAAGTAGGGTACTTCCCCCTAGGAAGTCCACGGCTTACCCAATTGCCAGCGGACCAAAACGAATCGCTAGAGCATACCGTAATCGTCAAGATATGAAAGAACCTAATAAGATAACACAATGCAGATGTATATTGTTAATTGCTGCTGAGGCTGCAAACAGCTTATATAAGCTACGGAGTGAAACAAATGAATAAAGAAAGCTATAATATTAAATATAAAATAACACAGAAGATCTGTTCATACTACTTATCAAAATTATTGACAATTTTTCAAAAGGAACTAGGATTATTGTCAGGGGTTCAAGTATAATTTTACTGCCCCTAATTCAATCCTCAACCATGCTTTAATATACTACGACAGTTTAAGTAATACATTTCGAAATAAATATTATCGTGTCATAACATTAAGTTACTTCATGTACTTAATTAAGGCCAAAACAATAAAAATTAGAAATAAATATTTTTTATTTAACCTAAAAATAAGATTTGGTCTGAACTTTGGCGTCCTATAAATTCTTCCACTCTGATCAACTTACTCTCCAAGTTTTGATCTTGTGTTAACTATGTAAACGTACAATAGAAATAATATGTTTAAAACATATTTCAATATTGGTCATTTCTCAGTATATATGATAGTTGAATTTATATTGAACTATTGAATATATATGTGCCCCAAAGGTAAAGTTCACCATGTCCATTTTTTATTAAATAATTTAGTAACTAATAAACAAATTTTAATAGCTATTAATTATGGATAATTGGCTCTCTGAAGAAATACACAAATGGTATTCTTTAGCTTCGGGATACAGACATTAAAATACGATTTCTTAAAAAAAAAACAAAAAAAAAAAAAGCAGAAGAAACGTCGTTCGGCATTTAAAAGTATATGAAAATAATGTTATATCGTATATTAGAAAAAGTGCCCATTTTCGCATTTTCAATCAATAGTTGCGTATTTATTGAACCTCATATTGTTCAGAATACACAAAAATACACACTTATATATAACTTTTAGGATTATACATTTATCATTTATAAGTATTATATGTTATATAACGGAATGGTTGGAATGGTTATCAGCATTAGCAAACCAATCTCAAAAACTGACTTAAATTATTATTATAACACAAAATATTTCAAGGAAGATATATGATTAAGATCTGCGGTTAAGATACTTTTTTTTGTAGAAGATAACAATGGCATTGGTTGCTGTCAAGTCTAGCACCAATAACTATAGATCGTTTGGTCTTGTTGCTAAATTAAACAATTACTACTGCTCTAATAGCCAACATGTTCGCGTCAAACTCTGGGAAGTCAAATAAAACACGTTTATACTGCAAATCCAGTCTATTTAACTTTAACCTTAAAATATTTTCTTTTATAATGACGATTTATGCCATTTTGCCATTCCTTTCCCTTATACAGCTAATAGATCTCTGACCTATGAATACTCGATCGTCCGCGATGACAATGGAGAAATCATTAGACCCAGAGGCAGTGTTCCTCTGGATACAATCCTTTAGCACCTTTTGAACGGCTCCATTGCCCCAGTTCGGAAGCCGATATGACATTATGGAACTGTATTGTATCGGTATTGTTGTTGTTGTGCAACCACTTTCACACACTGTTCTATAACATTACACAATTCTTTATTTGTGGTCAAAGTTATAATCTAATCATTGGGTAACTTTGCAGCTATAGACCTTTCCTATCTAATGTGTTTAGACCTTTCTTATCTCATGTATTTGGTTTAAGGTTTTTGTCATAGGATGTTTTCATATTGCATCACCATCGCTTATAAATACTTTTATTTATTTTTAATCATCGACTAAACACATCTTAAGGAGTTATATTGTTTTGCTCGATATTTAGTTATATGAATGTTTTAGTTATTGCCCATATTAAGTCTTGGGGGACTTGTATAGTCTTATGTTGGATGAATTATGTAGTTTCGCTTTTGTTCCGGATAATAAGCCTATGAAAAATACTACACTAATTTATAATTGAAACAAGAACCATCTAAATATGAGGGAAACTGATGTATTTGTTGGAAACAGTTCTTTTTATGAGACGGAATATATGAAATTCTAGAAATATGTTCAGAACCATTACGTCCCATCATTCCGAAGTGTATGCGCAGATTCATTATTTATTTTGAATGTGATACTGGGCCCTGCTTTTCAATTATATCCATTGGTCATTTGTCATAATTTAAATTATTTAAATACTGTCGGCGATTTAGTTACCAGTAAATACATCTGATATATTTGGTATTTATGGTCTGAGTCATATTCTCAATTGAAATTTACTCTTCTTTATTCGTCCTGAATCCTGAAACATTCTCAGAAATATTATGAATTTAACTTTAAATCGACCTTTTCCCTATTTTTTCATATATATTTCAAATATATATATTTAAAAAAAAAAAAAAAAAAAAAACTGCATTTGGTATTTTAGATAGAACTAAGGAGAAACCATGAGATGAGAGATGTAGGAGGAAATGGACGGACGAATAAAAATAAGGTCAGTAAGGCTTCCGATGTTTATACGTGGGTGAAATTTATGCGTGAAGACGATTAAGAAACTTGAGTAAGGTCTTGGACACCTACCTAATTTTACTTCAAGGAAACTAATACTTAATTATATTTATGTGGGTGTGTGTAGAACAATATATATATATATATATATATATATTACAAGTAATTTCTTGCAGAGGATCGGTGTTGGAAGGGAGCGCAGATGTGGTACATGACAGAAACTATTGTTTTAGACTCGTTGGAATCCTCCATCGCCACATATATTAATCTTTGTCTTCGCTGTACAATACAGTACAATGTTCTTAACATACTTGCTATGTATTAGAACTGTCACTGATAGAGTTTTTAAATAAAATCTGTTAAGTGATGATTGTGCTGTGTGATTTAGTAGTTGAGCAGTCTTGCGATATTATTGTAGTCCTCTGCTTTATCATTTATTGTATTATTTCTTCAGTGACAGTTATAAAAGTCATCATGGCAGATAATAAGATTATTGCGCTTTATATCTGATATAATGGAATCTGTAGAAACGTACTAAAGCCCTATCAGAACTGTGAAAATTGTCTCGTAAAGGAATAAAGTTGAGCTGGTAGTGAAAGGAAAGCGTGGAAATGGGTTCTGTGCCCAAGCTAACTCGACTATGCGTCGGAAGGAAGACCCATCAAAACTTCGAAATTGGTTTCTTTGAGGTCCGAAACTTGTTCCTGAGGTAGGAAATACTTTCTAAAAGCCCGAAACAAAATTATTACTCGTGGAAGTGTCCCTTTTAATTCTAAACGTGTATATATCGCATGTTAGATGATTTTATTATCTTATAAAATCATCGTTTATTTATTTAACGAATTTTTCAACATTCGTCATATGTCGTCATCAACTATAAGTTTTTGCCATCTCCTGTCCTTCACGCATACTTGTCTATCGTCCCTTCCCTCAGAGTTCCCAATGTTAATTCTAATTAGTATTAATCCTTATGTTACCAATAGTTTTATTCAGTTAGGGATAAAAGGCCATATTAGTATTCTATCTATTCCATCTTCTAAACAAAGTGTTTGCGGACATACATACCTTCACTTTGAACAACATTAAATATGAATGTTAATGTTTACATTTAATTAATTAAGTAGAACAAATAAATACGTTTAATTTTTTTCAATTAACGTTAATAATTCGTAACAATTAAAATCTTTGGGTGTGAATATCTCCTCAACAAAGCGTTTCCGGACATACCTTCAGAGGAAATTTTTTTCATGTTTTGTTTGAGTTCCTTAGTTCTTTTTTGCAGTTTGGCCATCCTGAAACACCCTGTGTGTATATATATTTATTTTTTTATTTTTTTTTTTAAGAAAACTAATTTACTCTACTGTACCAAATTTAAGGTTCTGATAATTTTATTTATTGATTTTAAGAAGAATGATTTTATCTATGACGAATGAATGGTTAGTGATCAAATCCCTGGACTTATGAGTACTGTGGTTCAAGCCAGTCAATCAGCCGTGAATTAACTCTTGAAACGGAACACCCTTCTAACCGCACCATCTCCTTGGTGGTCCTTAATTCAAGAGACAGTTGTCCATGATAAAGCACTGGTTCCTAAAATTTCTTACGTTTCAACGTTACCTTTTTTTTTTTATAATAAAATAAATGGATAACTCTCGCACATTTTACTGACAATTCTCTACCCTTTTCACTTGTTTATAAAATAAATTGAATACTTCGTAAAAATAAAATTTATGATGTACGTTGCCTTATCTAACAGCTGTTTTGGCTTATTTAGTTGTGCAACAAAATCAACTTGGTTTTTCAGTTATGCGTTCGATTTGTATGTGTTTTTAATAATTTACGCAATTGTTTAAAATCTTATTTTGTATTCATTAGCACTGGCCAAAATAGTTCAATTATTTTGTTTTAATTTATTCCGACTTCGCAGCGAATAATTGTTTTTTAAAACTATTTTATTGAGTAATAAAACATTCTGTCACAATATAAACAATGGTTACAGTGAGGAAAGGGTACATTCACACCATACCTAATAAAAATATAAACATACGAATAAAATAAGACAACAGCTAAATAATTAAATAATTAAACAGCTAAACAAGAAATATTAATAAAGTAACCTGCAGTGCCAGACCGAATACACTGAAGAAGACCTAAAACTTAGGTCGAAACTTTGGATAATTCAATAAAAATGTTATTATGTAATATAGTATTTTATATATTGACCGCACCCCTCCCCCCACAGGCTAAGTTCTGAAAAAAATTAATATATTTAAATATACATAAAATAAAATAACAGACATGCCTATATACACTTTTTACAATCGCGCGGTGAAACCTTGAACCTTGCTTGTCCCTCCACCTTTGAATGAAAAAGGAGAATTCCAGAAGATCCCTGCACAACTCTCTCGCGATATGGATTTGTGTAATGCGTAAGGTTTTGGTGAAATTTGGAGAATTTTTCTGGGATAAGGTCTAGGATGAATCGGATGTTAAGGTCATGGTGTAGGGTTTTGTTAGTTATATAGAATGGGATGGGACTATTGTTCAAAGGACTTTCGGGCGTTTCATATTATAAAATTTAGTAGTCCTTACAGTTCTAGTCCCAAGGTCCAAATGGGTTTAGGATTGTCTTGTTGATTAGTAATATTTTTTTGACTGAAATTCGATATTTTCGTGTCTGTATAGTTGTTGTCAGTAGTAGTGTATAGACGTATCATCGGTTAAGTTCTTGCAAGTCTATATGTGGGTTCCTCGCCAGTCTTAATAAAAAATATTTTTTTTAAATCAAATAATTTCTATGTAAAATTTACATTGTTGGTTACATATCTCGTTAAGATTTTTAATAATGCAACATTCTTCCAAGCTAAGTAAATTACGTTCGCGATAGCGCAAAATTAAAAAAAAAAAAGTTATTAGCTGTGAAGCCTAGATAGTTTTTTGCCCCTTTCTGGAAGAGTAAATTGCATTAGTGAGGGATCTCTTTATTCATTAACTGCTGATGGATGCTCCCATTAATTACATTACTTAATTACTCCGAGGAGCCCTCGGCAAGATAGTGCTCTGCTAAACTCATAAGGGCTCGCTGCTCTGTGCTCATAAAGGAACCTATCTAGTATTTTTTCTCTCCTCCCTTCCGGAAATCCAGGCTCATCAACTGATATTTTTATCAAGTCGGAGAGCTAAATGATTTCCTTTTTTCTGGTCGTTATAGTATGAAGATTACAATATTTTTACGATCGAGTTCCATTTCTACATGTCCATTTGCTGCACTCATTTCAGTGCGTGAATTCACTTTATCCTGCTTACTGCCTAGCGGACCCAAGCATCTTGTTCATTACCTCAATGGTCTCCTTGGTCTGCAATTGTAAGTGTAAGTGCTCACTTTAATTTCAGTTGCTTAGTTTCACGAGGGCTCATTCAGTGAGATCCGTTCTTCGCTAAGTACAAAGGGCGGAGTAATTATTAAGAAGTCCTTAGTTGTCTTCTGCCAAAGGACGTTATTTGTTTGTCCTGTTTCATTTTTAGTTTTTTATTTCTTGACAGTTCCCTTTTCGAAGGAACGTTGTTTTTGTTTCTGATTTACAAAGGAACTTACGGAGTAAGTTCTGTTCTAAACTATTTTCGTTATTTTTGTTTTCTTAGAAACTTTGAAAAAATTGAAAAATTTCGGAAGGGAATAGTTTAATAATCTGTATTAGAAAAAGCACTTATGCAGACTGTTTCATCCCAAATTAAATATTGTATATATTTTAATTTTTATTTTGCCTACAAGATCTGGAGTACCGGGAAAAAATCTTGGAATTTTATGGAAAAATAAAACAACACCAAAAATCATGGAATTTAATAAGCTAGTGCACTCGAATGTGATTTTGATGTTAAGATTTCGAATCATTATTGGTTACTAAAGTTGCTAATATACACAAATGCCCATATGATTCGTCAAACGTAATGTGGTTTGTTCTTCGATTTTTGGTGATAATTGTTTTTTTAATTAATTGATTATTTTCGTCTTAATTATTATAGCTGCATCTAAAATATTATGTATCAATATGCACTAAATTTACATAATCGATACATCTGAAATTTTAAGTACTGCGATTCATAATGAATTATTGAAGGAAATTAATCGATATCATGGGTGATAAATATTCAGGACGTAGT